GTGATTCTGTGAAATATATAGCCAGGTGCTTTTCAGAACAGAGGCATTTGTAATGAGGTAACTTGCTGTTACAGTTTCTCAATCTCGAAACTCCTTTTGGAGGCTATTGGTAGCCTCTAAGTTTTCTATGAACTGGGGCATGATATACACACACACACACACACACATATATATAAAAAAAATGGAGAGAGCTTAATTTGGGCTATTTATATTATTTCTAATGTTGAAGAAACTCAAAATCAAATCTCAAAATGCATACCATTACACTTACCCAGAGAATTACAGTTCTCTCCTAACAGCTGAAGCAGAAGCATGCTACAGCTAAGAAGCTCTTAGGTTGGGCACAGCCAATTTTGACATGGTCAGACTGCAGTGTTTGGTGTCCTAGTAGGTCTTCCATTTTAAAGTGCAAGTTGCATGCTTTTCCTGGTGTTCCTGTAGATGCTTGCAATATAGGAGGAGAACATGGTTTTGGTGTGTTTTTAAAGCTAAATTTTCAGAGCCTCCTTAGGTAGTTTGTGTATTGGTCAGAGGTGGTTCATTTAAACCCTCATGCAGCACCTGCATTTGTTCAGTGTGTTTTGTTTAGAGCTACTATTTTGGTATTCATGTAGAGAGTTGTTTATATGTTGTGCTCTAGGTATGGGGGAGAAAATGTTTGTTGCTGAGTAGAGTAATTCCCCTCTTGAGTGGCTGTGTGTTGGCTTGAAGATGGTAAACTTGGAAAATCTTGGGCTAGATTAGCAGCTATTTCTGCAAGGTGAGTGGAGGACTGAGCTTTCTAATAGCTAAGATTTCTTTAGTGGTTGCTTTACCTTTTCCTTTACTTGGGAATATGTTTTTAAAACAAGTTGGAGAAATCAGAGTGACAGGACTGTTTTGCATTGTACTGTAGGTTGCTCGATGGCATATAGTTATTGAAAGGAGAAAGACCGTTGCATGAAATCCATAGCAGCTGGAGTTCAAAGGAAGTTGTAGAGTTGCTGTGGTAGCGGAATTAAATGTTAAGAAAAATAACTTTCAGGCTCTTTTTAGGGAAGAACAAGTGAGGCTTTCTAAATAAATGTTATTTTTATTGAACCTTTTGCACAGCACTGAATATTTGCAAAATTACACTTGTTTCAACATACCACTTTCTTCATGACCAATAATTTCGTTTTCCAAACATTAAAATAAGTGCTGGCAACTGAATCTTTTCAACTGTGAAGTGTATTTGGATTTTTTGGATGTCTGATTCAGAGCTGTGTGTTAAAGCATTTGTTTTTGATTTATCCTACTCTAGTCTGATCCTCTCGGTGAAATAATGAACTGGAATGATGCTTTTTATAAATTGAACTAGAAAACTTTGTTCTGTTTCCTGAAATACCTTCTCCATTTTCCCCTGGGAAGGCTGTATTTTATGTATTTGCCCAACACAAAATAAAATTGGAACCTGTTATTCTTCAGGCTCTATGTTTTTCAGCTGGAGAACCTACTAATGGTTGAGGAACAGAAAAGATGCTGAAGTTTTTCTATCTTGTGCAGGAAAACTTAATTTACATTTCACTGAACATACAGAAATACTAATTTGTTTCCTATCCTGATGAACCAGTCCAATTATGACACTGATGGGATATTCTTTAGAATTTTTGTGGACGTTGTGCCAGCTGCTGTGTAGGTAGAGGGCTTATATGCAATTAAAATACATCTGCACAAACACATACTTCTCCAGAAAACTACAGAATGTCTGTAGAACATAATAAAGAGAAACAAAACTTTAATATGGAATAATCTTTGTCTGGTTGATATCACTTCTGCAATACATCTTAAAAAATTGCTGAAGTGCTTAATTAAGAACAAAAAGAGCTATGTCATATGCTAAGTTGTTGTGTTAAAGGTCCTGTCGTCTTGGATGCAGAAACAGAAAAATAACTCTTTTTTTTTCAGTAATTTTCATGAACTGCTGAAAAAGCACAGGATGCTTTTGAGAGCTCTTGGAGAAGCTGGTCACTCGGGTGTGAACACCTGCATGACACTGGCTGTTTTGGCTCAGACAACAAAGAATGTTTTTCCTGACCAGTGAATATACCTGCCTTTCAAAAACAGTATTTTATGGTCTTGCTGAATAGTCTACCTCAAGAAAAGTTCTGAGGCATTTTGTACTTTTCTCACAGTTTCTTTATTAAATGATGCTGCTTTTTTGGCTGTAAAGCGAATGAGAGGTTCTGAAAGTGGTGTAGATGTCTGTTTTTACAAATAAATACTTTAGGCCTAAAAGCTAACCTAATAGTACTTTGTGTAACTATGTTATTCTGTTAATTATAGTAAGAAACTAAAAGAAAATACCACCTTGTGGTAAGGACCTGTGTAAAAGTAACATTTTGTTACACTGTTATTTAAGTCTAAAGTGAATTATGCGAAAGTAAATGAATGATTCTTGTTATGCAAGAAGAAATGTACTATAGAAGTTTTATGGTACTTATACTTTGAGTGAAATAAAAACTGAATAAATATATAGTGGAAACAAGTGGGATTGCACTGAAGTCTGGGAACAGTTTTTAAATGCTTGAGGTTGTATAGCTTTCATTCCTCTTCACCTTCTGCCTTTCGAAACATCTCACCTCCCACCTCAATGAATTAGTAAGGGTTGGCAGTTACTTTCATGGAGCAAATTAATATTACATGTAAAATTCTTGATGTATATAGAACATTTATATTTTCAGAAATGTTCCAGTGAGGAATCAGTATACTTTTACCTTCATGAAATGCCCAGAGGCAAGTTCTAGCTTGATCAAATGGCTATCTTAACCACTTTACTGGCTCTGTAAGCCAGGCGACTTGGAATACTGCATAGAGTTCAGAAGTTGAATAGAAAAATGTTAGGAAGGTAGAAGTCAATTCAAGCTGCTTTTTTGAACTTCAACATCTTCACAGAAGTGGGGGGAAAAAAAACCTCGGACAGTCCAAAACTGGGTGCTTGATACATACAGTCTTAGTAGCTTTGAGAGTGAAAGGAATCTAGCAATCTCTTGCTACTTTTAACACCTCTGAATGCCTTGGTATTCATTAGAGGTGTGTCTAGCCTCTCAAGTTATACACCTTGATTCAATATGGGTAAGAGCTGTAAGTGAAGTATATTCTTCAGGTGTCCTTCCAGGTTTCTTCTGAATGTGGTTCTATATTTGTGCAAATGGAAGGGCAACAAAAGTGGATTCTGTTCTTTGGAATAGAACTTTAAACAGTTAAATACTACTCCAGAAAGCAAGCAAATGGAAGATTAGCCATAATGACTTATGTGTGTGTGTTTTTAAAATGTAATTTATACTTGGTACAAAATTAAATTGTGTTTATCACTGACTAGTGAGTAAGGCGGATTACGATCCTCCATCTTTAAGGCATGTTTTACAGTCCGAGATAAGACCATGCAAATAAGGTGATGGAATAGGTCACTTTGATAAAACTAAAATAAGAAAGCCAAGGGTATGTGGGGGAATCAGTATAGCTAATACTGCTATATCTTTCACACTTACAAATTTGTCTTCATTTTACAGATTGCTGCTTTTCTCTGAGCTGCTTATTCTGTTTTGGGCAGGGAGTGTGTTAGAGACGTTCTAAAACTTCGGAGGCATTTTCTTGGTGCCTATTGCGTGCCTTTTGAATGGGAGAAAATCTATACTCTTTTGTAAGTTCCACTGCAAACTCCCACTCCACTTTACCTTCATCAGCTTTATACTTATGTTTGATTTTTAAATTGTTCTGGGGGAAACCAGACAAATAAGGTGATCTTGACTCTGACTTGTGTGGTTTTCAGATTAAGAATGTTGGCAGTAACGAATTGTAACAGTAGAAGTGAGTTTTTAAAAAATGAAGTTCCATTTTACTAAGTTGTTTTTAGAGCCCAACTTTGCATTCACCGTTTATGTTCTGGAGTGGCCCTTATAAACAAGGAAGTTAAAACTCTTACGTTTAGAGCTTAAGGTAAGAGGCTTTGGGTAAAGAATCCCAAATTTCTCACCCCACCCCATTTTCCTCAAAGGGTTGTGATCAGCAGAATGAATTCCAGTGACTGGCATGGGGGCCAGTCAGTAGTGGTGTACTCCAGGGGTTGATACTAGAGCCAGGATTGTTCAGCGCCTTCATTAATAACTTGGATGATGAAACACCAAGTGTTGCAGACAATGTAAAACAAGGAGGAGTGATTGATGGATCAAATGGTCTGTGCTGCCATTCAGGGGACTTTGATAGGCTGGAGAAATGGGTCAACAGGAATCCAGAGAAGTGCAAAAAGTCCTGCCCCTGGGGAGGAATAACCAGTGGATGCTGGAGACTGACGAGCTGGAAAGCAGCTTTGCAGAAAATGAACTGGCTGTCTTGGGTTTGACCATGTCAGACATTGAGTCTACAATGTGCCCTTGCACAAAAAATCCTAAGTGGCAATCCAGGGCTGGCGTAGACAGTGCAATGCCATTAGGTCGAGGGTTTTCTTTCCCCCCTACTCAGACAGATGAGACCACACCTGGAGTGCTGAGTCCAGCTCTGGGCCCCTCATAACAAGATACATGTGGACAGACTGGAGCTGGTCTAGGGAAGGACCAGGAAGATGATGAAGGGATTGAGGTATATGACTCAGTTGAGTCATATTGAGGTATATGACTCAATCAGTCATACAAGAAGCAGCAAAGGGAGCTGGGGTTGTTTAGCCTTGAGAAGAGAAAGCATGGGGGGGTGTTATCAGTGGGTATGAGTACCTGAATGGGAGAGTGTGATGAAGATGGAGCCAGACTCTTCTCATTGGTGCCTCCTGACAGGACAGAGGCTATGGACACAAACTGAAAAAGTGGAAGTTCACATTTAAACATAACAAAACACCTTTTGGGGATCATCAAAGCTGTGGCACAGGTTGCCCAGAGAAGTTATGAAGTCTCCATCCTTGGAGGTGCTCAAAACTTGACTGGACACAGCCATGGGCAACGTGCTGTTGCTGCCCCTACTTGAGCAGGGGGGTTGGACTAGGCGATCTCTGGAGGTTCCTTCCCACCTCAACCATTCTGTGGTTCTGTGATAGCAGGCCATTTCAGTCTTTGAGGCTGGTCATTTTGTGTGAAGGTGAGCACAGTTACCTAAAAACTATAAGCCAATTAATTTTATTTGGAACCAGTTGGTAAACAATTGATAGCAACATAAATTACAAAGTTTGTGGCAAAGTGGTTTTTTTACATGTTAAAAATGTCAACAAAATATGTAGCTTTCTCAGGCATTGCTTTCTACCCATCAGTTAGCTTCATTATTAAATACGAAGAATCCTGATTTTGAAACCAAAATGTTGTTTGGAAGTAAATGGTGGATTGTTATCCTGTGTTGTACAAGAACTACTTAGTAACATCTGCTTTTTCTGTTGTGCTAATTTTATTTATTTGTTTACTTTTAAAGCAAGATCTTATGTGTGAGTAGTAGACAGGCACGTAAAACCAAGTTAATCTTAAATTCCTTAGTTGGCCACACATTGGGTGGGCGTTCTTTTTTTGCAGTGTCCACGTCACAGTGCCCTTCCAGCAAGGAGCAGGCAATCTCTGTTGTGTTGTTTTCTTCTTCCTTCCTTCCACACCTTTTTACTTCATGTTGGTTGACTTGCTGTTAGGCCCAAGCGGTGCTCTCTAACCCTTCCCGGGATGAAGTCTCGTCTTTCTTCCCTTCCTTGTTATCTGTGGTTTGTGGCTCCCACTGCAGCTGTTTAACTGCTTATACCTTGTCACTCTTCCTGTGATGAACACCTTTGCTTGTCCTGACTCATCTATGTGAGGCCAAGCAAAATTTAAGCAAAGACGGAAAACTGCTAATACGGCTAAAATGAAAGAGATACTAGATGTGCTGTCGCAGTGTTTCTAAAGTCACTTTTTTCCAGATGCAGTTAAAATCAAGCTAAAATAGATTGGAGACCACATAAGGCCTGACAAGTGTTGATGCTGGATGTGGGTAACAATGGTTACAAAACCAAAGGCCTATAATTATTACAAAGACATTATTATTATTAACAGTTGGTAGCCTTTCTCACCTTGGCTTGCACCAGAAAAATCAATTTTATTGTTCGACTGCAGGAATTTACTTTTGAGACACTGCTATTTTTAATTTTTACCTGTACACTGGAGGAAAAAAGCAAATGCTATTGTGCTATCGAAGTGTGCAGGTGACACACTGGAATTGTCAGTGTTTGGAATAAAAAGTGGGAATAGGTCAGTTAGAGAAGTCAAGCTGAATCACTTGGCAAGGTCAATGAGAATAAATATAAATGTAGTTAAATGGAAGGGCATATTGAAGAGCAGTGGTGGATTTGAGAATTTTACTTAAAAGAACAACAAAAAAACCCAGTTTGAGAAGTCTTTTTAAAATTATATGTTTATGGACAGTGTTCAAACCTGTGGGAGATTGATTCTCCCCCTGCCAATTGCATGGTCTTGGTAAAAAAATTTCTTCCCATAGAATATAAGTTCATAATACTGTTCTTCCCCTCCCC